AAGAAAGTCTGGTTGACTGTTATATTTTTATAGGTAAAATAACTGTCATAAAAATAGGACAATTTTATGAATAACTTTATGCCAATAAAAATTTAAAATGTAAATGAAATAGCCAAATATCTAGAAAAATAAACTTATGAAAATGGATACAAGAAGGAATAAATTATCAGGTAGTCCTCTATTAAGTAGAAAACATGAAAAAAAAAAATCTTCCCACAGCAAATACCCTAGGCCCAGATATCTTTACCAGTGAATTTTTCTAAATATTTTAGGAGAAAATATATAATTTTATATAAACTATAGCAGAAAATAGAAACATAAGAAACAATGTCACCCATTTGTGAGGACAACATAAACTTGATGCCAGAATCTGACAAGGACATTATAAAAAAGAAAAATTGCAGGCAGATCTCACTTATAAATGTAGATATAAAAGTACTACTCACAAAGTGAATTAACAACATCACTACCAAGTAGGACTCATTCCAGGAATACAAGATTGGTTTAACACATGATTACCCATCAGTGTTGTTCATCACATGAATAGAATATTCTGAATTTATCAACTTGACACTCCCACTTCTGTGTAAGCCTTGGAAATATATTTTCTGGAATCCTGTGTTGAGCACAATTCTGGATTCGAGTTAATCAAGAAGGCACTCACAAGATTGGACAGGTAGAGGCAAAGGAGGAGTAAATACCAGGAGGAAGCTCCAGCTCTCAGATACAGTGACAGACACAGGTAGCTCTACCTTCTTGTTCTGCCCAGCTCCTGGACCTGCTGACCCCTAAATGCTTTATTGCTATTTCCTCAGAGGTGGTAGATTCCACACACCCCTCCACAGACACAGGCTTTGTGGTCCTACTTCAGTGACCACATAAGTTTCCTGAATTTGACCTCATGCTCCTGAGGGAATGTAATCCCTTCCCAGGTCCACGAGGGGGCGTAGTTTCAAAGGCAAGAACTTCCCAGCGCCATACCTCCACCCATGTCTCCATCCGGGAGATTAGTGGTCTTTGTTTAACTTTCACATGTGAGGGAAAGTAATCAAAACTCAGTCACTCCGGCGGGAATTTAAAGGAACTCCTTTCATAGTGAGGAAATGTGTGCTTTTTCCGGGTCCATGAGGGGGCACAGTTTTTTTTGTTTTGTTTTGTTTTTTGAGACGGAGTTTCGCTCTTGTTACCCAGGCTGGAGTGCAATGGCGCGATCTCGGCTCACCGCAACCTCCGCCTCCTGGGTTCAGGCAATTCTCCTGCCTCAGCCTCCTGAGTAGCTGGGATTACAGGCACGCGCCACCACGCCCAGCTAATTTTTTTTTTGTATTATTAATAGAGACGGGGTTTCACCATGTTGACCAGGATGGTCTCGATCTCTTGACCTCGTGATCCACCCGCCTCGGCCTCCCAAAGCGCTGGGATTACAGGCTTGAGGCACCGCGCCCGGCCTGAGGGGGCATAGTTTTAAGGGCAAGAATTTCCCAGCACATGCCCTCATCCCATCTCTCTCCATCCGTTAGATTTAACGGTTTATGTTTGGGTTTCGTGGGCGTGGGAAGAAACTAAAAGTCAATCACTCCAGCGGAAGTTTAAAGGAAGTCCTTTCAAGGGACAGAAAAATTGAAAGGGGTGGGAATTACTCCCAGGTTAAAAGCCCCCTTCCCCCACATCAGTGTGGACTCCATTTCTGCATCTTCCCACCTTATGGGAGCTGCTCTCTATCTATTTCTCCTTTTTCTCTCTCTGCCTAAATAAATCACTTTCTGCAAAACTCTTTGGGGTCTGATATTTACTTATGAGCCCACTGCACCTGTCGGGGTCCTCTCCCCTATTCTTGGGTGAGAACACATCCTATCCAGGAGCTGAGCCTCCGCCTCATCCCGGAACTGGTCTCACTCCTACATACCCACCACTGCCCTAATAGTGACACTGTTATTTCTCCATTCTCTTCCAGTCGTTCCTTTTCCAGTTTCCCACACATTGCTGTATGCCCTAATTCCTGTGATAAACCACCTTTTCACATGCTACTTTTAGTGGCTTTGCTTTTCTGACAAAATCTTAGCTAATACAGTTCTCGATAATGGAAGTGAATTAGAGTAGAAGCAATAGAATTTTAAGGATGAGAATCTGACTAGATTTAAAGGCATTAGTGACCTTATTGCCATGGTAAATGAAACACAAGTAGTCTATGGCATGCAGTAACTAAACACATTCCTAGGGTCTAGAGAAGACAACTTTTAAGTGATCGAGAAGATACTGCAATGAACATTATTATGGGAATAAATAATAAAGGCTTTTGCATTAATTCGATTTCTACTAAGTGTACTGGGGAATGTTGAGGAAGGAAAAGATGGGCTCATGGCTTTAAATCCTAATCCACAACCTGGGTATGGATCCAGGAAACTTCTGTAATTGTCCTGGAAAACACAGACAAACAGAACTATCTACTGTAGCTGCAGGGTTAAAATTTCTGAAAACCGAGGTTGAAGTCTGATCCTGTGGGTGGCTGAACTTACAAATGCGACAATGTGGATGAATCTCAAAAACATCATGGAGAGCAAAACTGTCAGACACAAAAAGGCTATATGATTTAATTCCATTTCTGAAAAGATGAAAAAATAAAACTAACCTTATAAGTTTTGATGGCATAACTATTTTTAAAAACCCAAACAAACAAGAAACGGATTACCATACATGTTAGGAGAAAAATTATGAAAGTGGAGAAGGAATAGTAATCGGGAGAGGGCCAGAGAGGACTGTCTTTGTGCTGGCCATACTCTCTTTCTCGGCCTAAGGTAACAAGCGTGATCGCTTTGTGATGGTTTTTTGAGCTGCACGCTTACGGTGTCTGCAATTTTCTATATATGTATTATTTCTCAAAACTAAAAGGATTAGATGGAACCTTAAAGGGCTTGTTATCTAACTGGGAAACAAGACAAGATCCTTTAAATGGCCAACAAGTCTAAATAATTTAGCTCCCTGCTAATTAATAGTTTGATTTCTCAACTTTTCTTCCTCTCTCCCCCTCTGCTCCTGCATCAACACATATACAGTTGAACATGACTGGAGGACACCCATGCTGTCTGGTATCACTTGAGATTCATAACTACCAAACCTAAAAGGGAGGCGTAAAGCTGCGATATTATTTTTCTAGTCCATTCACTTATCACTTACTTAGGTGACAATTTCATAACTCTCCTCTATCTTCATTCTTCAAGCCCTCCACTCCCTGATTTCACTGTCCCTCGTCACTCGCCGGTAGCAGTTTTGCTTTCCTCTTTGTACTGAGAAAAGGGAAACACAATTCTATTGGGTGGACACAGAGCTGTATCATCCACCTCCCTTTTCACAAAAAGAGCCTTATACCACAGCTGCTGGGGTCAGCAGATGTCTTCCAGCATTCAGCAACTATAAAGTCCATCTCACTTATGGAGAGCCCAGAGTGCACCAATGTCCAAATCCAATGTCCATTTCCAGAAGTAGTGGTTGAGGGCAGCATAAAGGCGGGAGGGACAAATCGAGAGCTCTCTTTGGGGTGGTTATGCTTTGCCAGGCATGTACTGTGGTTTGAATTTCTCCTCAGTCCATTTGTTTCCTCTCTCTCCCTTCCCTAGGTGTTGATCCCTAACACATAGCAGTTTTCCAAACTCCATCTCGGTATTTGCTTCCAATGAATGCAACCTGTGATACCGCAAACACATTCAGATTTCCATCACCATGTTCCCCTACCAACCTGCTTTTTTCCCCGATATCCTGACTGCCTTCTTTAGAGTGCTTTTACTTAAAGCTAATCACTTCATTTGTGTACTGCCTTTGCTTGCTGAGAGAGAGAATTCTAGCAATTCTTTCTCCCCTCCTATCATTTTTTCCGTTTTGTAAAATTGTTATTATCTCTCCCATCTTATTTTATTTTTAATCCTTGCCTTGGCCCACTTCACCAGCTACTGTGCTGTTCTGCTTTCTTTTGCAAAATTATTAATAATGTCAGACTCCCAATTCCTCTTCTCTCATTTTCTCTGCAGCGTATTTCCGCCATTAGTGGAAACTGCTCTTTACAAAGTCATCAATGGCTTTTATAATGCAAACTATAATGGTCTGAACTCAGTCTTGGTCATACTTAATTTTTTTTTGCATGATTGATAAAATTTTCTACTCCCTAAAATGTTTCCCACTTGGCTCCTAGGACATCAGGCTTTACTTTTTTCTCCTAGTTCGTGGCTCACTCTCAGGTGGGCCACCTAGCGCACAATTCCAGGAAATGCCATTTACCTAGAACAAAACACTAGTGTGGCTCTGCTTCTCAGTCTCCTTTTCTAGTTGATTATCTTTTCCCTGTGTCTTAAGGTAGGCGGGTCACAGAGTTCATGCTTGGTCCGTTTATGTTTTCTGTGTACGCATCTCTCTTCCAGACATTACTCTGACTCAGAAATGCATAAACTCTCTGAGGTCTTTATTTAAATGACTAATAGATATGTTAACACATCCAAGTGAATTCCAAACTCACCTCAAACTTGCACCATTGGACTGCTCCGTCAGTTTATGACAACTCCATCCTTCCAGTTGCTCAAGCCCATTCTATTTCATTTTATTTTGCATTTCAAAACAAAACAAAATAGAAGAACAATAAGGATTGCATATTACTTTTACTTTATCCTCAGAGGCGGGAGGGAATAGTGGTGGTTAAAGAATTAACCTACCGGCCAGGTGAGGTGGCTCATACCTGTAATCCCAGCACTTTGGGAGGCCGAGGTGGGCGGATCACAAGGTCAGGAGATCAAGACCATCCTGGCTAACACGGTGAAATCCCATCTCTACTAAAAATACAAAAAAATTAGCTGGGCGTGGTGGCACACACCTGTAGTCTCAGCTACTCGGGAGGCTGAGGCAGGAGAATCACTTGAACCTCGGAGGTGGAGGTTGCAGTGAGCTGAGATCACATCACTGCATTCCAGCCTGGGCGACAGAGCAAGACTCTCAATTAAAAAAAGAAAAAAAGAATTAACTTACTTTCCAGTTTTCTAGGGATAGCACTCTGAATTTAAATGTTTCAAATGGGTTGACAACCACCAAAGACATTTTCCCCTCTGCTTCCTCCCTCTCCTGTGGTATTCAATTCCTTCCTCACTTGACTTATGTTCACCTATTTCTTTAACACCAAATCAATGCTTCAGTTTTATATCTAGAAGTATATATTCAGCACTTGTCCCTTTGAAATAAAACGTAGTTACGCAATAGCTGGAGTTATGTCCAAAAATCTACAAAAGAAAATATTTGATAAGGAGTTTTCTGAGGAGGCTTCCAAAAGCGATTTTTGGGGTTTACCTTTTTAAAAATGTTTCTGTGTTTCATATGTGAAAAGGAATACAATTTTTAGTTATTATAGAGGGAGAAACAAAACTCAAGCAGCACTATCAGTTTTTTTTTTTGTTGGCCTTTAACCCATTTTTAAAATATATAAATAAATTCCTAGAGATTATGTTTCCAGATCCCTAAGACTAAAAATGTAAGCAACTATACTATAAAGTGCTAGAGCTCATCAATTGTGAGTTACAGAAATCCATAATAGAATTTAACTTGCTGGAAACAAAAATAAGAAAACCAAAAACAAAACCAAAAGTCAGCTTAAAATCTACCTCTAGTTTCTTTCCTCTTTCAGTGGAAATGTACTGAAACAAACAAACATCACTTTTGCTTGACCATAGATTTCCAGTGCGGCAAGAGGATATATAAAACATTCAGTTACTGTGCAAGTTAAAACTCTCAAAGTTAAGATGATGATACAGCAGGTCCTTCTGAGCCTTGAGAAATATGTTCCAAGACCACTAGTGGATGCCTGAAATCAGAAATGGTAGGGAACCCTGTATATACCATGATTTTTCCAATACTTACATATCTATGATAAGTTTAATTTAGCAAATAAGCACAGTAGCAGAGTAAGAACAATAATAAAATAGGACAATTATGACAATATTGTGATCAGAGTGATGTGAATGTGTTCTCTCTGTCTCTCAAAATATCTGATTTTACCTCACTCACCTATTTTCAGATCATGGTTGACTGAAGGTAACTGAAATCACAAAAAGTGAAACCGCAGATGAGGGGACAACACTGTATCTGCAAATGATGCTGTGGCTGGTGATGGTAACAGAAGCCTACCAGCCTAGTCAGGCATTCTTACCCATGGAAGAGTTGCCATGGGAACCTCTTGGCAACCCACGGATTTCAAGCACTGTATGTTCTGCCAAAATAAATAATGAAAAGTTATCTTCTTTCTCCTTTAATGATCTCTATATCTGCATACTTAATAAGGCAGGATGCTACCTCTAATATCATTTGCAGCAAACAAAGGTACAAATGAGAGACATACTAAAGTAATATAAGGATTACCTCTCTGCATTTTAAAAGCACATCCCGTGTTAAGTAATTATGTTTTCAGAAGTTCATTCTGGATCAGAAGATCAGACACATAATATTGCTCATTCAGACCTCATCTGATACTATTTATAGGGTCCTCTCAAACTCACTGAAGATGGCAGTAATCTCTAAATGTATGCAGAGCGTGAGGCCGTTCTGGGAGACACCCTTCTACTCAAAATGTCAGGTACTACCTCCCCATTGAGGAGCTCTCTCCTTGCCACTTGGGGATCTCACAGAAACAAGTCACACATTCTTTTCATTTTTTGGCTGTGAGGTAGCTTTAGGTCATCCTCACTTTTCGGTTACCACTTGTATCTTTTCTATATACGCTTTTTAAATTCACTAACTGATAGAAAAATGCTTTGAATAAATTATTAACGTCACAGTAAGAGGATGTTTTTTTCTTCCTAGACATATTGAAATGTTTTAGACACTAGAAAATAAAGGATTTTTAATAAATGCAGTATAACTATTTAAAACGTTTTTCTTCTTTCCCCAAAGTGAATAAATAACAATTGTAGGCTAATGTTTCAGATTAGCATAGGCAGATAAAATAATTTCATGATATAAAAACTAATATTAAGTGCTCCATTTGAGAGAATTTATGAAATTGTATTTGATAAGAAGTATAGAGGTGGAAGGTAATGAAGAGAGAGAAGAAATAAGTATTCTTGAGTTGTCTGTGAAAGTAGTAATTTAATCTAAGTTGTATTCACTTAACCCTGCAAGATTAAGTTTCTACATGGAAAAAAAAAAGCTGAGCAGGAGAGCACCAAAACCTTACATGCCTGGAGTTGATTTAATGAAAAGCTTGTTTCTGCTCCTCATTGAAGTGCCTTGGAATATGATAAGTACAGTCAGAGTGTTTTCAATATTTACTGTCAACGTATAGTAAAGATTTAGGAAGAGAAAGGAAAAAATAGGGAACCCCGTTTGCCGGAGCCTAATTTCATTAAGAAACTTAACAAAGGGAAAAGACACTAAACCCTTTTCTTGTGAAAAAACTCACCTGAAAAGGGAAGGGATCCAAATATGAATAAGAACAATGACTTAGCACCGCCTTCTTAAGAGGATATGTTTCCTGCGGCACAGAACGCCTGGCAAACAGTGGGCCCAGAGTGAGTATTCACTGAATGAGGGAATGGATGATAGAATACATTATGGAGTGTATTTTTGCCTGCATTACTTTCATTAAATACATTTTAAGAGTAACATATTCCTCTTTGAAATCCCCATATTCTATTAGTTGTATAAATCATAATGAAAGAAAACATCAATGAAACATCTTACATTTTAATTGTAAATATTTCTTGCTTTATCAATTAATGGGAAGGAGGACATTTTAACTAAGTGAAAAAACAGGTTAGTGTAAATCTTAGCAATTATTACCTTAAACTATGACTGGCTTTCTCATGTTGAATTCAGTGCTCAACATTTTGGATATTACCTTCTTTTCATAATTGAAGTTGGGAGAGTAAGAGATTTTCTTCAGGTGTCAACTATTGCCTTAGGAGGGTTCAAAGAGACATGAGCAAGCTATTGGCTTATGGATTTGAATTAATGGTTATTGGAAAGTTAAAAATGTACCATATGTCATTATCCAGGTATCTACAGCCATTTCTGTGTTCTTTCTCCATGTCCTTGTCTGTCACTCTTCCACAGTTCTTCCCTGCCTATAAGCAGTTACAGTGAAAAATGCCGGAGTAGAATGACATAAAATCTTTAAGGTCAAGGGCCTCTGATTTCAGATACTGTGACTTCTCAGAAAGCCCAAATAAGTTATTCCCTTACCAATCTATTGATGTGTGCAAATTATGATGCATGCAGGAAGAAAAACATATTTTCTTAATTTCCACACTGAAGCAAGCTAAATGCTTTGAAATATACTTGACAATGTTCTGCAATAGTGAAAGTAGTACCTATTTCTGATGTTTCAGTTCCTGTATGTCAAGCATTATCAAAGAGGGCAATATGGCCACAAGGGAATAAAAATTCATTATTGGAAGGTGAAAAAAAATCTTATTTTTTAATGTACAATATTAAGTACAGACTTATATACAGTAATTACAGATACAGCATTTCTGGGGTATCATAATTTCATGGTGGGGGATTAGGGAAAAAATGTCGTAAAAAGGCTCCTTGGCAAGCAGGGCAGGGCGGGCAGGGGGATAACCAAAAAAACTTAAGAAACACTATTGTACATTGTGCTTTTCATTTTTAAAAAAATCTTATCCGCTCCCAGATTCTGGCTAATGGAAAAAATGATAGAGAACTAATAGCCCTATGGGAACCATTTTTAAAAAATAGTCAAGCCAGTGTAGGACCCTCAGGTAAAAGCTTCTTTATAGACTGTGCTTAGAGCTGGGACTGAAGTGAGGTCCCTATTGTTTGAATTGTAGTCGAGTCATTCTAACGAGACAATCTAAACCTGAAACAGAAAGAGAGAAAGCTCTGTCCTGGAGAGAAAATTGCATAGTGAGAGCACAGTGTACCTGGACACAGAGTGAAAGTGAAGGTTAAAGGAGCCTGCTACATCTGAGCACAGGCTGGTCTCAGCAAGTATCTGCAGAGACCTGCTTTTGAGCCCAGTGATCCCCTCTACTAGCAAAATGACATAATGAGTATCAAGAGTCTCAAAAGGTCGGGCGCAGTGGCTCCTACCTGTAATCCCAACTCTTTGGGCGGCCGTGGCAAGCAGATCACTTGCGGTCAAGAGCTTGAGACGAGTCTGGGCAACACAGTGAAACCCTGTCTCTACTAAAAATAATACAAAAATTAGCCAGGTGTGATGGCAGATGCCTGTAGTTCCAGTTACTCGGGAGGCTGAGGCAGGGAAGATGCCTGTAGTTCCAGCTACTCAGGAAGCCGAGGAAGGAGTATCACTTGAACCCGGGAGGCGGAGGTTGCAGTGAGCCGAGATCACACCACTGCACTCCAGCCTGGGCGACAGCGCAAGACTCCATCTCAAAAAAAAAATTTTTTTAAGCCTCAAATTAACCACTTTTTTCTAAGAAAGGTAGATGTGGGGAAATAACCCTGAAGTGTATCATTCTTTGAAAATTTGAGAAAAGAATGGAGGATTCTCTTGAATGTGTAGCAATACAAATCGGAATGAACTTTATCTTTTAGTTTTGCCTAGTTCACCACTGTTATATAGATCTTTTAGATTCATATATATATATATAAGTTAATATTCATCTAACACTCAGTTGTTTAATTTTTTTCTATATTCTGTAAATACCTCACAAAACATAAGATTAACTCTTGATTGTTTTTCTCAATTATTTATTAAAGTAAATTATTTTTTTCCATTTTTAGACTGAAATCTTATTGGGTGATTCTGTATTAATATGAGAAACAAATGGGCAGAGAAAAAATAAAGAAATGAAAAGAAGAAAAAAATGAATGACTATTTACTGTTCATGTTATTTCAGCAGTTCTTTTTCACTTTGGTTTTTATTACTAGAGGAAATGGAAACTCTAGACTAGTGTTGTCCAGTGAAATATCCTGCCATGATGGACAGGAACTCTGTAGGCACTTTCTAACATGGAAGTGCTAGCTATCTGAGATTATTGAGTCCTTGAGGTGTAGCAGTGGGACTGAAGTATTAAATTTAAATTTCATTTAATTTTAATTAAATTTACCGTATAGTCACTTGGGGCTAGTGCCTTAGCATATTGGTCAACACAACACTTAGATTCTGAGGAGGTTTGGCATACTTTCCTTTACCAAATCAAATTCCTTATTTTCAAATAGTAGAATAAGAACACTGGCAAACCATTGCCAGTTTTCCTCACTACACAGATTTGAGCTCCTAGGATAATATTTTGTCTTCAGTTGGGATAACTGTCAATAGTGGTCTCTTGGTTCAAGTCCAAATATGGAGGCTTCCCACAGGTGTGGTTAATGAAAATGCATTGATTAATTGTGTGTTTCTTACATAAAAACTAAAATCCTTTAAATGATTATGCTTAATATTAAAGAATGTCAGTATTGACATGTTTAAATGAAATATGCAATTTAGAACAAAATGTTTAAAGTAAACGTTTCAAGATACAATTGGCAACTTGCTTATAATTTTCCTTATTCTCAATCATAACTTAAGCCTGATTCTCAACAGAAATTGAATTAGAGCTTGCATTCAGTGACAAAATCTAGCAAACAATTATTGAACACTGCAAAAATAAACATGTTTTCCACATCTATTAAAAGATTTAAGATAGATGCAAGTCAGACAAGTGCAGATATTTTACTTATAAAATGCAATATACTTGTTTAGCTAAAGGGAAGTATATCTTACCTGAGTTAAATAGGTTTTTTATTTCGTAGGGATGAAATTTCGCTTATAATGAAAATGTGATGCACTCTGTTTATGATCTTGAGAAATTATTTCTGACAGAGTTTTATAGCAATAATAAAAGACTATTTTCTAAAGTCTAGAGACTGCATGAGAGAGGATATTCACATTAATTGCTTTAATATTCAACAGTTGACACATCTTTAGTTAAGGGTTACAGATAATAGTTTCAAAAGTGATAAGCTTCAACTTGTAATTATTCCCCTTGTTTGCCTCCAATTTTCACTTTGTGAACTATTTACAGGTAACATTATTAAGCATTTTAAACTATACACCAGGCACTATGTTAAATGGTAATTTGAAAGATGTTATCTTACTTATGCTTATAATAATGCTATTGTATCAGAGCTGTTATTATCTGAAGCATATCATGAAGTAAACGACAGTTCACAGTGATTAACTCACTAAAGCTCACACAGCCGGCAAGTTACAGGGCGGAGATCTGCATCAGGCTCTGCCTCAGTCCAGAGCCCATGGCTTAAATCAACC